TCCTTCAGTCTGCAGCCAGACGGACTTGATTAATGTTGGCGTGTTATTATTAGCCATTAGCCGCAGCTAGCAATTCAAGGCTAACGTCATGTAAATGATCATAAACAACGTAAATAAATAAAGAAATAAATCAGAATGAAGGGGCGCAACGTCGGCAGGTCGGCAAGTCCGGGGGTGGTGGTGGTATCAATACTTTTAAAAATGAGTATCGTATTCGGATACAACGTTTTAGTATCGATACTTTTGACAACCCTAACAGAAACACAAAAATCACCACCAAAGTGGGAGTAAAGATCTTAACGAACGCAAAAAGGTACCCACCAATAGCCATAAATATCTCGTTCACGTTCATAGAGGTCTTGGCTGATGTCTCCATGAAGAGTAGGCTGTTGTCGTCCGCATAGGACTGGGCATCCTGGCAGCAGAGTGGAAACAGGATGAGCATTAAACACATCACTGACACACACTCAGAGCTTTAAGCAGGGTAAGGTCCACAGCAGACCCGGCCCCGGGAGGCTGGACACCGGCTGCCTGACCTGGAAGTCCACGGCTCTCTTGCTGGCCAGGTCGGCCTTGTTGCCCGACAGGGCGATGACGATGTTGGGGCTGGCTTGTCTCTGGAGCTCCTTCACCCAGTTCTTCGCTCGCACAAAGGACTCCTGCAACATTGGAAATAAAACGTGTTGAGACCGGGCCGGCCGGAGTAAAAGCCAGAGCCCAAAACCCGACGTCCAGCCGCCCGTTTTTTAACTCATTGGCTGCCAAAGACGTCTATAGACGTCTTTTATGTTTTTCAACGAGAGTGGCTGGGGGACGATCTGCTAAAGCTTGTCCGTAAATATCAGGCTTCTAGACAGAGTATGTACTAACAAATTGACCCTCTAGGGGGGAGTGCCACTTTTGATGGGAGATGAGCATAGACTGTAGGCAAATGAGAAAAAGGTAACGGTTCGATATGAGAGAACATGTCGCCGGTGAGACGCAAGTCGAGGAATAACAGAATAAGGTAGAAACAATTTTTTTTCCTGATGAAAGAAGAGAGTCTACTCTTTCTTTTGGTGTGTTCGGCGTTTGCATAGTCATAGCACAAACTATTCTGTGGCTCTTGAAAAATCAGTCAAAATGCTCAAAAAACTCTGGCAGTATGGGACTCTGTTCTGAAAATGGCTGGCAGTCAATGAGTTAAAGACAGACGCGGCCAGTGGGCCGGGAACCTGCCTCGTTTGTGATGTCGTAGACCACGATGGCGGCCTGAGCTCCTCTGTAGTACATGGGGGCCAAACTGTGGTAGCGCTCCTGACCGGCCGTGTCCCAGATTTCAAACTTGACCGTTGTGTCGTCCAGACACACCGTCTGGGTGAGGAAGGCCGCTGAGGGGAGGAGGAGGAGGAGGTAAGGAAGTGAGTCAGCATCCACAGAAAACCTGCTCTAATGGCGGTATTTTCGAAAGTCTCAACTAAATTCGTCATAGGTTGGAGCTTTGTGGCTGGCGCGTGTTCCAGGATCCAAAAGAAATGATAGCTTCCACTGACGTCACGTTTTGTATTTTTATCTTAAAACAAAAGCGATAACCAAAACAAACACAAATGAAAATATGCCTCCTAATCTTTCATAAATGTAAATCTAAAGCTCCACATGGTACCAACCCTCCTCCTGCCGTGTCAATCTAAGAATGGCTACCTTACAGAATTCAAACGTCATTAAAGGCCCACTAAGTAATTATTCTAAATTCACATTTTAACCTTGTAAATATGTTTTACCTTAAATTATTAATGTCACTCATGAATGTAAATTAAATATCAAATACACATAATACGATTAAGTTAAAAACTAAGCATAAAATAGGCATCTGGTGCCTACAAAAGAGGTTTGTTTACGTCCTGCATTTATTTAAACGGCTCATCTTAGTGCGTTGGATTTTAAATGCAAAGAAACTCCCGCAATCACGACATCAAACTGCTTTAATCTGGAGAAAAAAAAAACGGAGAAATAGGCTGGATCCTCACCTCCTATTGTGCTCTCCTGGAATTCGTGGAACTGACCCTTGACAAAGCGAAGCACTAGGCTGGACTTCCCCACGGCCGACTCCCCCAGCAGAACCAGCTTGAACTGACAGATCTTGTTCCCGGCGTTGGGTCCATTGGGTCTCGTAGCTCCTCCTCGACTGGCCATGACCTAATCAGATCCGCTGGTTTCCTTTTTTTGCCAAACTTCACTATCTGGACCTTTGCTGCAGGAAGCAAGTGGTAAAAGTTTTTTTATTTTTCATTTGATAACAGAGTAATAAACACACATGTGACTCTGGAGGCTTTAAGATAAAATGGAGATAAAAAAGAAACACTAAAGTGTGAACAATACGCCCAAACTTAAACACAAAGCTCAGGTTTTTAACCAAAACCCAACCAGCTCAGCGTCAGCTGGCTCTGTGGACTGTTTGGGGCTGAAGGTGGAGCCACAGCTTGTTCCCACTTTGCCGAGACGCACAGCGTTTAAGAAATAAAAACTCGAATCATTTGGTAAAGGCAGCTGCCATAACCCCTTAAAAAAAGAATCAGAGATATCAAAAGGCATCGAGAGATAAAGAAGTCGATCTGTGCATAAAAAAGGATGGAAAATGTACTTAAAAGACAATAAATACATTCTATTACACTGCCGCCAAGTAGTGCCTTAAAACTCTCTATCATTTAAATGGCATCTTTTTATCAGTAAATAAAAAAAACAAAGCTTTACTAACTGATATCAACAGTTGCTCTGGATTCATAAATGAAGCTGTATCTCACAAAATCCATCAAAATAAACTGAAGCTGGACCACAGAGCGGTTTAAAAGGTGGAGAAAATGCCTCATCTGTATGAAAACTGAGCTTCTAATGCTATGACTTTAGCTTTTAGCTGCTGATGTGTCCACTTTTTTTGGACCAGGAGTGGAGAGGAATGGACACACCTGAAACCTGTCTGGATAAAAGCGATGTCCCATTGAGGCCGGAGGGGGAAATGTTTGTGAAAAACCTTTGGGGCTGATGATAAAACCCCAGTAAAACCATCTGCACCACCCTGTGGGAAGCTGCCTCATTCTAAATCCATGTCTTGGTGATTTAAATATTGAAAATGATTGTTTTTTTGAGGCCTCACCCAGACTTGTTGTAATTTGTTTGTTTTCTGTGCACATATAGTGGCTAAAAAAACAGAAAAAGAGAAAAAACCCTCCTTACTGGGCTGACATCTGGGAGGCAGCTGCGCCCCACTGCTCCCACAGCATGGAGGTTATTACTCCCCAACAGAGAGTTTGGTCATTTTCACAGAACATGACGCAGTGTTTTTGTTAGACATCGTCAGTTAGAATTTATTGAGTAATAACCACAGATTATCAGAGGCGATAATCTGACATTTCAGCTGCTACAAGACGTTCTACCGGTTTAGGAGAGATGCAATAACCACAGAGGCCCACAGAAGCCCACCAGAACCACACACAAAAACAAAAAAGCTCAACAAGTCCTGCCGCTAACCACAGCAGTGATTCATGGTGAGGACCCTCCTACATCTCTCACGGCCAGAGCCCCGGTATGGATGCATACCGAGCATCGCTTACCGACTTACTGAGGAATGAGTGGTGAAAAAAACATACAAACAAGTGGCTGTTGTTGGGGGAAAAAACAACCGTCTATGTGTGACTATAGATGGAGAACGCTGTTTATAGGAGGGTTTGTGGAATCCTATGAGTGGATACACATATGTGAATATATATATACATTCATCCTTTCCCCCTAAGTAAGTGGTGGAAGAGAGGACAGTAAAAATCAACATCAACTATGAATTATGTTAGAAAAAGTACAGCTAAAGTCTCCTTCAGAGAGTTGGGCTGAGGTCAGGCTGAGACATGTAAAAGTCAGGCCAAACTAATTTACCAGTTGTTGAGTCACAAGAACTTCTGCACAGAAACGTCGTAAAGATGCAAACGAAAATCCTTTCACTTCAGAGGCAGGAGAACGGCCACAGCTCTGAAGCAAAGTTAAGAACCTCCCAAAGAGTGTATAGTTGAACCCATTTTAATGAAGAGTTTGTTTCATGCTGCAGGACATCAGTTCCAGGCTTCAGAGAGTGCTTTTTTTTCAACTGAATTTACACAAGTTCAATTCATCACAGCAAACATATCACACCAAATTAGTTTGACAGATAGGAAGCAAAGGTCTGTTAGAAATAAGCCTAATCATATCTGTGTGACCTCTTTGCACAAGTCGAAGGCTAAACTGAAATCAGTCTCCAAATAAGAGGCTTCGCAGACTGGAAACCTTTAAGAGCGCGTGTCCGTGCGCTGTCGGAGGCAGATTCTTCATCTATTGATCCAGGACAGACAGGGTTTGCAACCGTTTCCCAGTTTTGGGAAATTAATGCCCACCAAGTATGCACATATACACAAAGCCAGCACGACAATATCATGTCCCAACACTACAAAAGATGTTCTACACGCTTTAGGACACACTAATAAACTTTAACCCCTAATGATCCAATTCCCATGACACTGTCATAGGTGATGGGTCATTGTTTTTCATCAAAACAAACAAATGTTTGTGTCTTTCCTCCTAGATTAGATGGAACATACTGGATTTTAATATTCATAAAAAGCTCTGTCCAAAAGCAAAGGGAAATTTATTGAGCAGATTACATTTCCACTAAATATAAACTACATATTTACAAGGCATTTTGACCACTTGGAGGTCTTTACATGAACTTGTAACACGTGGAAACAAAAAGGTAACTACAAAAAGGGGACAAAACCAGAATAAAAGCATCTTTACATTGAAAACAGACATTTTTTTCAAGATCATAATATCGACAGTGTCTGTAACTAGGTAGCTCACTGATTGGACACTTTAAAAAACAAACAAAAGCAACACAATTGCCTGACAAACTTCAGTCTGACAGTGCCCGTGTTTACCCGTGCACACGCACGCGGACTGTCAACAAACCCATCGCCTCCGTGACAGCGATGCACGCTCACTATTTGCATTTAACACACCTAATCACATCGGTTATGGCATCGAGTCTGTTTCAAAACGAGGGAAACACTTCTTCACAATTCACCGAGAACCTAGTTAGCTTGAGAGCTACTGAACCAGCCTTTGCCTTTTAAGTGCTCACTAAAATTAGCGCCACAGCCACGGCAAGAAAAGCACGAAAAGAAAAAAGCAGAACTGTCACCGCACCGAGTACGTCTCAGTGGGCTTTCTGCTTTCTGCGTACACTTTATCAGCGTTACCTAAAGCGGAGCAGTCCAGCCTTAAATTCACAAACATTAGCTTGTTAGCAGCTAGCAATACACCCACCCAATTAGCTAATAGCTAAACAAGTATGCTTGTCATGCTACCTCTGCGTGCGCGCGTGCTAACGGTACGCTGGGCGAGCACGGGGGAAAAATGACCGCGTACGATGGAGTACGACAAAGGCCCATATGTGCCCTTATTTTCCTAACTATCAAAGATCACCAACATATCTGGAGTCGGCTAGCGACAGCGCTGGCTAACGAAGACGTTGGTGACAACTGAACAAACGTTACCGCGAGTCGCTCGGCCAGAAACAACAACCGTTCAAGTACGGTACCTGAGAACCAGCCGACGTGGAGACCTTTCTGCTGTTTACAAACCCAACCGGGGACACAAGGATGAGGTGGCAGGGCAGCCAAGAAAATAATTTCAACAACCCCGTCACGTCTCCTCCTTCCTTTCTTCTCGCAACTTCCCCCTTAGAACCAAAACACAAACAGCACTTCCGGTTTCCGGGTGCCACGTCACACGGCAACGACCAACAACCGGCGGCACCTTCTGAACTGGTTCAGTAGCATTTGGAGGGTAGATTTTGGAAAATTCAGCAATTTTAAGACCAAATAAGTTTGACAAACAAATTACTGAAACCCTCTAATCACGACTGAGTGTTTACCTGAAATTCCCATATACAACTGGATTGTATATGGAAAGCTCAACATCCAAATAAGCCTTTCTCTGGAACAATGTGTGGATTCATCTTAGTGTTTTTAATAAAAAAAAGGCAAATGATAAGATAATAAGAGTCTCTTTAAGGTTCAGAACAGAAATCAGCAGACATTTACATTTTTACATCTATTTGAAATAGCCTTTTATTCCTTTCCACATCCGTGCCACTCGAACACCTTCCAGCCTGAAAGTAATTCAGTCAAGTACATTTTTTAATCTTAGATATCCACATCAAGACAATTGTCCAATCAAAACGTGGCTGTCTCTTTAAATTTAATTACATGTTTGTAATTATTAATGCTTTTACAAACAAATATACAAGTTAGTTTCAGAAGATGATGAAATGATTGTGTATATCCAAAGTATTTTCTTTGATCTCACACCTTTTTAAAACAACATTTTTAGCATTTTGGGGGATTGGGATTGTGACAGTCAGAATGGATATCCAAAAAACAATAAAAAACCAAAACAAATTTAAACACTTTTAAGAAAATATAATCCCAAATGAATTTACTAAAGACAAATCACCTGCTTACAAAGCTATATGCGTTTTCTCACCTATCGGTTTATGTAACCGGCAAGCTATTTAGGCCGGGGTTTAGGGTCAAAGGTCACGTGTGGGTGCTGCAGTACACGAACCCGCCAGCAGGCGTCGCTGCAGCCAAACGCTCGCTCTCCTCAGCTCGCGAAGAAAACTACGCCGCTACGACCCGGAAGGCCGCTGCAGCACGTTTGAGTTATTGTTGACTCAGTACTTGTCTATTTTCGTCGTAAAAATGTTCAAAACGCAACGACAGTGACCCCACGGCACGTCCAAATCTGATACGATATCACGGAGGCTTTCTGAGGCTCACTAAGGGCAGCAGCTTCCGGCCATGGAGGAGCCGGAGACCCCGGAGGAGCTGCTGGTGAGGCAGCACCGAAAAGAGAAGAAGGACATGCAGGGTATCTACCTTCACCTGGCGTCCTTATATCCCCTCTAACAGCCTTTATCTGTTTTTCTGTTATTCTCTATGGTCATCCGCCTGGAGCTCAGAACTCATGTGTTTGTGTTCGCCCCGTGAAAATGGCACCGGGTCTAAAACCCCAGTATCGTTGTTTGGGTTTGTTCTGTCGTTACATGTGAATGAAAATAAGTTCCAGTCAGTCAGAGAACTTATTTTTTCCTCCTCATCGTGTAATTTTAGTCAAACTTTGATGTGACAACCACATCATTCACTCATCCATATTTATTTTAAACTGAAGTCTTGGTTTGCATTCCTGCTATAAGAACATTGGATATCAAATGTTTTAAAGTGGGAGATGAAATTGTCAAGCCCATGAAGAGATTCATATCAACCACTAAGAAATTAGATTTACAGTTTTAGTTATTTTGCAGATTGTTGGTTGCTTTTGTTTCATCACTCGGCCTAAGTCTGTGCTTTCTGTTTAGCTCAAATCCAGAGTATGAAAAATGCAGTCCCCAAAAACGACAAGAAAAGAAGGAAACAGCTGACAGAGGAGATAGCAAAACTAGAGGCTGACCTCAACCAGAAACACGAGGAGGAAATCAGGCAACTCAAATCTACCGCCGACACAGAGGTAACGCTTACAGTCGACAATCGGATGTCCTGTGTTTAATTTGGAAACATTTGCTTTATTTTTATGGCTTTATGACTGTAGAGAATGGCAATTTGAAATGACATTTAGTGGAAAAGAGTGTTATTATAAACAAATTTGTCGTACCAAAGCAAAAATCTGCATGAACTTAATCGATAACTTATATTTTTGGTGGGACTCAGAGGAACCTTTGCATGTATTTCACCATTCATGCTCAGAATTCATGAACCGTAGTCTCATAACTGTGCTTTTGACTCAGTCCTCTGAGGTGGAGGAGGTGGCAAACGGTGTGGAGACCCTGAGGGTGGAAGATGGAGATCAACAAGACCTCAAGCAGCCACGGGTCACCAAAGCCCAGAAGAGAAGGGTGAGACTCAGTTTGAAGTCCCGATTATTCCAGATCAGCGCCGTGCTTCTAGGCTATTTCAGCCTTTGTTTTATTTATTTTTTATTTAATGGTCCTCAGGACAAAAAGGCAGCGCAGGTGAAGGAGCGGGAGAGCCGGATAGCCGAGGCCGAGGTGCAGAACCTGCAGGGCGTGCGGCACCAGGAGGGCCTGAAGCTGGCGGAGAAACTGGCCGGGCAGCAGCTCCAGATCAGAGAGATCCCCTCCGACGGCCACTGCATGTACCGGGCCGTCGAGGACCAGCTGGCGCAGCGGGCCAAGGTTCGAGTTTCTGCAC